AGAAACTTCCCTTCAAGGGAAGTTGAGCAAAGAAAGGTAGACCAAAGTTATGGAGAATATTCTAAATTATAGACTAAATCCCTTTTCTTTATTTTATTAATGCAGTATTTAAAATACCCCATTAGAACCCATCTGCATTTTTTCTTGTTTTAATTTAATACATTTACCCAGTAAATGCTGCAGTCTTAGCTGCTAGATAGCCACGGATAAAAGGAGAGTACCCAAGGATCTTTGCTCCTCAGCTAAGATGAACAGTGTATATATACCTTTATTGCTTTTATTCTTTCCCTCATTGATTTTTTTACTTTATATCACATAGCAAACATTGAATTTCCTTGAAGAAAATAATTGTTTTACAGTGTAATTTTACACTCCTCTGAAGAACAGAGATGAGATTTTCCCTAAAACAAAACCCAGAGATTTTAAATTGATGGAGATAATGGCATGAAGCCACTGTGGCAAACAGGAGAGAAAAATCTGTTTTTTTCTTTGTCTTGTCTTTAAACTTGCTGAAAATGATGAGTGCAGTGTTGATCAAATGGAGTGACAGAAAGCATGAAATCCAAAGCCCAGTAGGATATCCACAAAAAGTAAGCAGAACATTTGTAAAGGAATGGGAAAATTACCCTCTGGCAATTTGCAATCATCACAAGAGAACTGCAGAAAAATAAAAACAAATCTCCCAAAATTCAGTTTGTTAACTTTCTTCTTAGATATGTTTCAACGTACTATCCAAAATTGTGGTTTATATAGGGAAACTGAATGATGGAGAACATGCCGTTTCCTCTGTTGTTTAAATTATGTCAGGGTGTTTTTACTCAAACAAAAACTAATCTAACAGCTGCTGTGTACTTTTGTTTACATGCTATATGTCAAATCGTATTGTCCCCAAGGTACTTATGAGAGATGCTTTAGCAGTCATTTTCTTAAATACTGATGCCTATCCGAATTTGGATTTTTCCACCATTGAACAGAATGACAAGCACACGATTGCTGTACTTAAAGCAATCTTTCACAGCTGCTTTGCTTTTTCAGTGATCCCATTAAATTGACGGCATATGCCTGTGGGGTCTACAATGTTACAATACTGCTGAACAAGATGTTGATTGTACAATACAAATTTGTACAATAGAACTTGTCTTCATTGTGGGAACCATTTCCCATGTCACCCTTCCATTTATTTTTAACCTGAGCAAAATTTAATTTAAAAACTTGTCTATCTCTGTGGCCTTTACTGAACACCTGGTTATATTAATTGTTTAGAAGTGCAAACTCTAACACTCAGTGGTCAGTAGGCATGAAAACCTATGAAGTCTCCTCAGTTCCTAAAATGAGCACGAGTCGTGTCTTTTCTTGAACTGAACGAAGTAGCTGTGCATTAAATATGCTGGCACATCTTCTGCTTGAGCAAGTGGACCGAAATGGTGTGAATTGTTAATGCCTTGCTGCTTTGGTTCACGGCTTGTGATTGATCATTTGTAACTATATCTACTCCTTGTTCCATGAAATCAAGTATGGAGTAATGGGTTCATCAGATTTTTGGGTTAAATTGAGAGTGAAGAGGTACTGTGTGTGGAAATAAGAGTTGCCATGTTCGGGGCTGGCCTTGTAACAGCATGGAATCTAAAGGCGATATTCAAAACCACTTCACTCATCATACGCTTACTGATTCTGAATAGGGTCCATTTGCAGGGGACATTTGGTAGTTTTCCAATACACTTTATGCCTCTTTCTCCACTTCTACCACCCTGCACATCTTTTTTTTTTTTTTTTTTTTTTTCTTCCCCATAAACTAGAATAGCTTATAACAGGTCAGCATAGAAAATCAATAGATTTAAATAACTTGCTATGTAAAAGTAAAAATATCCTTGGACTGAAATGATTGTCCTCCTTACTAATTAATGATACTACCTAAATATTAAGTCATTTGCATGACTCAGGCTATAAATTTAGAATTAAATCTCATATTCTGTGGAAAATTAGTTTTCCAGGCAGAAAGAAAGAGTTACAATAGTCTTAATTTTACTCCTCAGTCCATTCATGTGCAGGAATGACACATATTTCCAGACACTACGACATGGCTTGTGACTTTGCAAACAGCAGTGTGTGGGACCACAGCAAATACAAGCCAACAGCAACCAGAAGTGACAACTTGCAATGGCCTGCAGGAGAGTAATCACATTACACTATGTCCACCGAATAAGAAAGGTAATGGATGTCAGTATCAAACCTGCTGCAATGCTCACAATGTTCTGTTTGTGCAACAGAAGCCTCACTATGCTTACTGTGCTATCTCATCTCCTCTGATTAAATTTCACCAATTCAGAATAAAACATACCAACTTGTTTCCATTGGCTTAAAACAATTTGCAGAAGCTATTTAATTACATGTGAATGTCTAACTTGGAATGAATGAATCACTCTAGTCACATTAAACTTATAACCAAGTTTTTCACCTGTTCTTGTGCTGAAGTCCAGAGACAAAACTAAAATCTGGAAAAATTTAAGACCAAAAGAGAAATAGAGAGTAATAACTGACTACTATTGCTCCTCATTTAGGAGTAAAGAATGAAAGGTAATCAAATGGAAAGGAAGTGGAAAGGAGTGTACTGCATGTATACATCTGTGAATATCTGTGATGATTATAGCCATACTTAGACAAAAAGAGAGACAGAGCAATTTAGTTAAATTTAATCCAGTCTAGGTCATATAAGGTCTAGGTCATATTAATCTTTATTCTTTGTTTAATATTTATCCTGATGATTGTAAGTATAGTGCAAGTCTACAGCAATCTAGTCAATGCACAAGCGTTTTCATTAAGAGTTTTGAGAGACTACAACGCATGCAATATTGGAGGAATACAGGAAGCAATCATGAAGGAAGAAGCTGCTTTTTTCAGAACTCATTTTGAAAGTTCTCTATCTTTTTCCTTCTTTTCTCCTCCTGTATTTATTTTAGCACTAGAGAAACCTTGCTAAGGTCAAGTTTCTATATTTAAGTATTTAATCAGGATCTTTTTTAACTAGTCAGATTCATGATGGCTTTTTTGGCTTAGAATTATTGTGAAGCCTTCCCGCACTTATGCAAGGAGCTGTGCCACCATTCGGAAGAGGTTTATCAAGCGTATGGAAGTCTTTTACAAAAAATTCAAATGGGAATTACATACAACATACAACTTTTCCTTTGGCCTTGGTTCTCCTTCCCCTGCACCAAGCAGTACATACATGCTAGAATTTTCCCAAGTTTTTATCTTTTAGACTCATTTGCTTCTTTCCACTGCCATGTGACCTTTTTTCTTGTGCTGGCAAAAGTATTTGGGTGGGTGCGCAGTGAATCAGATTCTGGATTAAAACTGACAATTTTAACTGATTTATATTTGGCATATGTCATCTTCCCTATGTGGTTCCCTATGAATGATGGAACAAAACCTTTGTGCTGTCCAGGGAGCTGTAGAAGTCCCACAGTGACAGGGCACAAGTGGTGGAGGCTTCTTTTAGCAACTGTGCTGGAATACGCTGACTTGAAACATACTCAAAACTATGGCCTCAGTCACTTTTGCATACCTTTTACAAGCAGTCCACATATCTATAAGGCCTCATGGATATCAGTTTAATAATTAAAGTTCTAGGTCAAGACATCCCCATGGAAAAAAAAATAATAATTGAGTAATATTGTATCAAACTGCTGAATGTGTGATGCTCAAAAATTACTGCTGGACTTTTTTGCTCTGATGCATAGACAAGCTTGATCTGTGTGTTTTGATTATTCTTATCGTGTTGAAAGTATCGTGAATGTTCTAGTTAGATAGGTTCTAAGAACATTTATTGCAGAAGCATTATTATTCACATTTGTATGTAATTTCTTGATATATATTAGCACCAATTCTGACAGTAATAAAATTAGTTTTATATTACAATATATGGCATGATATCTATCACAGGCAACATTAGAAAACTGACAGACATATGAACTTTCATTAACTGAGACAGATATAGTTCTCCTGAGTATCATTTTAGTGGATGAAGAATAGAATAGAATAGAATAGAATAGAATAGAATAGAATAGAATAGAATATTTCCGTTCAAAGGGACCTACAACCATCATATTGTCCTACAGACTTAAAAAAAACGGATTACACAATTCAGAGAAGGCTGAATGCTAATATTCAGAAATTCAAAATTCCTTACCTTTAGTGAAATCTTTGCAAAGTATTCCAGGTTGTGAATCAGCCCTAGGTTTTAAAAGTATTTAAAATTTATTTCTAGAAACTTATTTCAAATATATCACAGACTAATAATAGAAATGAGGTGATATAAAGTATATATGCCAAACTTGTTTGGAGACAAATACATATACCCTTCTAGACTTACCTGAAAACAAAGACATCATATCAGTTCTTCTAAAATCTACTGAATTGTCAAGAAAGTATTAAAATGCCTTATACAGGAAAAAAATATTGTATATACTGTAACTTTATAATAAGTTATATAGTTACAGTGTCCCATCTTTCAAGATAAACATTTTAACTACTGAATATTTATAATTATATATCTAACCTAATCAAAATTGACTGTATTTTCAAATACAGTTCCATCATATATAACACCTATTTATAATTCATGCCTCAGATAATCTTAGAAATAATGTTCCTTGGTAATAAATCCTCAGATAAGGTACTGTTAGATAGCGCACACAAAGGTAGGAGAAGAAATAGGCATAAATAGAAGCAAGGTGGCTACTGGGCAAAGAGAAGAAGATTAAAGAGCAGGGGGGATTTAAGGAAAGAGGGCACAGAAGTAAAATTCCTCTTATCTAACCTGAACATACATATCATTCCCATTTCATCGAATTCCAGGACTTTGTAATCAAAGGAATTTTTTGGCTGTTTTGGGGTTTTTTTAAAGAATAATCTAGAGTTATACAAAAGCAATAAAACTGCAGTTACAATGAAGGTACTTTGGAGACGCATTCATTCAAACATGCTAATAAAAAAAAGGTTACCTTCTCAATTTGATTTTGTGATGCAATAGTCTCATAGTTATCCTGCCCTGTGCAGTTCTTCAACACTAAAATTCTGTCAGAGGTGTCCTCAATAATTTTCTACATGCAGTTGGAAATGACAGGCTTGGTTTTCTTTCGCTTGACACCATTATGAAGAACCAGGCCATTCATTCTCCAAGACACTTTCTTCATTAATGACAGATGGTCTGAAAGAAAAAAAAAAAAAAAAAGTAAAGTCAATATTTGGTTTTAAAGTTAAAAACAGACACATCATGCTCCCCTTTCCATATTACCTTAAAAATACACACTGGCCTGTCTCCACTTAGATGCTGGTATTTTCTGAAATACTACCACCAGCTTCCTACTAACCGTGACATAAGCTGTAGCAAGCTGTCTACAGTGATAGCCTGCATAAATCATCATTCCTGAAGGGAACAGATGTTCAGGGTATGAAAGAGTAATACCACAATTTAGTCATAATTAAAATTCACCTTAGCATGCCTCTATCAGTGAGCAGAGAGGAACATTTCGCTTCTCACCTAAAAAAAATGAAATGCCTCTCATTTCTTCTGCTTCAGGAAAATTAAGCCTCAATCTTTTGCACATTGTTTGAGTTCCATATCTGACACTGCATCATATAAATGACATTTTTATTTCACTTAGTTTTCTTCTTTTTTCCAAACACTAGAAAATGACCTCTAAATGGTGTACTGCCTCTGCACAAAATGCACTTTCAATTAAATCTTCGAATTAGATTGTTGTACATTGCATGCAGAAATAGAATCAGATATCTAGCTACAGATCAAAACTGTGCCAATAAACATACTCATTGTACTGATAACAATTCAGTCTGAGCTGGATATATTTAAAAGCCTAAGGGCTAAGGGTCTAAAAATTACTTAGTAATCTTAGATCACTAAAATCAGAAGGAGTTAGAGGACTAACTCAGGAAAAGTTTTATCCTTAGCCTTGTAACTGCCATTAATGTTAATGGAATGTGTCTATACACATAATAAGCTTTCTGCTGCTACTATTACAGTTGGATTATGTTAGATGCATGGCAGTACTTTTGAAAAATTTGTTTCAATTTACAAATCTTTATATCATGAGGCTACTTTATTATGAAATACAAAGCATGTTTTGATAAATATGTTAATAAATATGTCTTTAAACCCACTAAAGTTTAAGTGGCTGAGCTTTTCATAATGATTTAAATTTCTAAGACAAAAGATAATTTATCTTCTCATCAAAATTGATACTGGCAATCAATTTGAAAAAAAAAACCCTCTTATTAAACTATGTTTTAGTTTCCCAACTAAATATCTTTAGCGACTGTCAACCTATGAAACTTCACACTGAATTCTAAAGTCCATGGACTAGATCCTCAGTGAATGTAAAATAGCTAACCTTATCAAACTCCATACAGCTACAGTAATTTACCAGGACTGAGAATGTGAATTTATAAATCTATTAATCTAGTAGGGCTCATTCTGTAACCAAAGTTACTCCTCAACAAGTAAGTGAATTTCAAATTTACATGTGAAAAATTGTGGTTTGTTTTCTTCCACAAGGATGCATCTACATTAGCATTCTGGTTCAAACAAAGACTGTCATTTTTAAGTGAGGAACCTATATATTTCACTTGATATACTTTGATTCTTGTCACAGAGCAGTTTCAAAGCATGCAAACTGATATCCTGTGGATGAAACTAAACCAATGGATGTGCTCCAGAGGCATACCTAAAGCCTTTTCCTAAGTTCACTGCACAGACTAGAGCTAGCCCAGAGTAAAATCTCTTAAAATGTGTATAGTGTGGACATTAAGTTCCATTGTACTAACTGTTTCAATCCACAGATCTGTTTCTCTAGCACTGTAGAACTTGTTAACACAGAAGTAGCTTCATTTTTCTGCTCCCTCCTCCAGAGCTCTTGCTACTACTTGTAGAATTTATGAATTTTGCCTTATCTTTGCTTTTGAAACAGCACAAATGTGCATTTGCAATTGTCAGGAAGGTATTCTGTGGTTGCTCTGAAAACCAATTGGCACGTGCATTGACATGAACTTGTTAGAATTCTGCTCCTAGGACTCTAAACATCCCCACTGGCACTGATCAGGTTCCAGCATCAAAGGACTCTGCTAATGCCAGTTGTACTAAGTTAATAACTCCCATTTGTGGGAAAAGATTATTTTGGTTGACTGTGTAAGACACCCTGTCCCTTCAGCACATAGGGTGGCTTGACTATCTCTTTGTCCTTCCATCAATACAGGTTCCAAATTGTATAAGACTGTAGTAATGAGGAAGATGCATCACAGAATTCATATAAACAGCATATCTTTGTCCTGGTTTTTAGTGAAACTATCACAATCTTGAATCACACTTTCATGTGACTTATCCATGAATTCCACTTCTGATCACAAGAAAACAGTGATCTTGTAATAAAGAGGTGGTTGCAAGACCAGCCTTGACTGAACAAGTTGTCAATGAAGTTGTTCTATGCATGGAGGGCAGGCACTACATGGTAATGAATAAACTTCTGCCATTTCAGAGCAGTGTAGACAAAATCAGGCACTTGAGTGTATTTGTGTTCTCTTATTTTAAGCAACAAATTACTCTTGACACCTGAAATTGTCTGTACGTTGGTGTTGCTGTGCATCCTTAAGCAACCACGATTCTACCTGATTTGAGAAGTCTGGCAGCTACCAGTATTTCGGGGCTCACAAACCAGGAATCTCCAAAGTAAAATTCCCTCATTAAGGGGGTACTTCAGATATACGAACTGTAGAGACAAACACTGGTAGCACTGAGTTTATCACAACGTAAAAGAGACATGAGCATTTAAACCAAAAAATTACCTGAAGAATGGTGGTAAAGTCTCATTTATAGAAGGAGCCAACCATTTATATTTCCTGGGTAGAGAGAGGTCAGATTCTATCATCTTCTCCATCTGACAGACTCAGTTTGATATAGGAATGCTCATAATCTCCAGTATGCAGGCTGGACTGAGATCTTTCTCTTGTTGCTATTGGACTGTGCAGCAATAATGCAAAATTCCTGGGGGAAGAAAGCAAGAATACCTATGGGAATCTGACTTTACAGATCATTAATAAAAGCACTTACTTGGAACTAAGGTAAGGATTTAATAATCCCAGTTTTATGCAAAGTCTAAACAAGGTGTTTTAGCAGTGGCATCAGATGAGATTTCAGTTTCATTCCTTTCTTCAGGATTTCCCAGTGTCTGTTGTAAATGCTGCTTCTCTTGGGCGTACCCTGTGCTTCACATTGGTGCTATAACTGAAAATGCTGTTACACATAACAGGACAGATTTGATGGGATAGTGGAAGGAAGCTTCTAACCCTGCTAAAAATCTTTTGAGGCCTTTACATGGCTGAGGTTAAGAGATACTGGAGAGAAGGCAGCTGAGAGGAGGTCTAACTGCAATCTTCAACTATCTAAGGAACAGCCATAGGAAAGATGGAGAGATTTCTCAAAGTTATACAGTACAAGGACATGAGGAAACAGTCACAGCTGGGGCACAGGACAACTCAACTAAATGTAAGGAAAAAATTTGACAATAATTAAGGAGTGCAATGGCTTGCCCAGAAAGGCTGGGGAATTTCCATCTTTGGAAATTTTCAAAACTTGACTGGATAATGCCCCCAGCAACCTGTCCTACCTTTGAAGTTAGCCCTGTTTGAGGAGATTGGCCTAGATGACCTGCAAGGGTTCTTTTAAAGCAATTTATTCTGTGATTCTCAGTAATGTGCCACTGTGTAGCAGACAGTTGTACAAGCTACTGCCAACCATAACATACCTTAATTTGTTAACCACTAAGTTAAAATTAACTACTTGATACTGTAAATTTACAAATCTTAACCTATTTTTATACACATCATTTACATAAATTTTAATGCCAGAATTTAACATAATTTTCAAAAATTAAATTATAATCTTGGTATTATGCTTAATGTTAGCTGTTGAAATTATTTAAACAAGATCAGCAACACTAATCAATTATTTGGTCAGAAAGTGAAGATTAACTTGGCAAATTGACATTACACAGAGAACTGTGGATAAGCAAGTAAATCCCCCCAAAACACACAGTAACATTGCTACTGCTAGTTAGAGTGGATGTAAATCTTTAATCATCTCAAGATAGTAGAATTACAATTCAAATCCATATGCCAAGGAACACCTTCCTCCAGCAAAAGTATTCTTAATTATATGATGACATAGAGGTTCTCTATTAAGAATGAAAAATGTCACTTGCAGAATAAAAAATATAAACTCAGAGAGCACTAAAATTTTCATTTTATATTCCCTAAGTACTGACTATACTGTTCCTGATCTGAGTCTAGGTTTGTGCTACATGCATTTCCTGTTACACTGAACTTATTTCAAAAATCAGTTTTCTTATTTTCTCAACACCTGTCCCCTTCTTTCACAATTGCTTTATACTGTCACTGTTGAAACAAGATTTATAGAGTTGTAGAAACTTTCTTCAAATGATAATAAAAAGGAATAAACATAGGTTTAAAGGGACTAACACAAATATATTGATGATTGCTATATATTATATTATGCATAGGTACTCAGACACACTTTGCTTTAACTTCTTTCCTCATCTTGACAGAAATAAATAACAATCAGTGCCTCAATCAACATTCATAACCTTATGACTCCAAAACTTATTCTCTGAAAAAAAAAATTAATCTACTAAAAACAGGACATAATTTTCTCAGTTCCCACTTTTTAAGATTCTGAAAGCAGAATGATACATTTTAAAGGGTACAGAACAGTAACAGAGAGGTGAATCTGAAGTTTATCTCATATATTAATACAGTTAAGTGTTAATATAATAAATATGAAACTCCCTGACATACATTCATGAAATAGGAAGAAAGGCCCAAGTTTCCTAAAATTTAAACACTCTAGTCATAACAACATACAATGTTGCATTCACTTATGTCCTCTGTTCAAATCACAGATGCCTCTGTATTTGGGAAACATACTATGCCCAGGTCACATTCCTGTGTTTAACTAAGTTTACAGTCACTCCCTTTTCTTTAAATCCTTGAGAGTTTTTGTTTCTGCATGTTCATCACTTATTGCCACAGGCACCGTGGCTATATTTAACTAATAATGACAGCAGTTGTCATTAGATTTTAAACTCACTAACACTAGTCTGACATATTATTTGAAGTATG